AGTTATGCACACATGCCGCTTGTGCGAATGGCGCCAACGAGGGCTAGCACCTGCTGCTCGTGTGAGTTGGGCAGCCTGGTTGTGAATAGTCCAGGGCCGGTAGTAAGCTGCGGCCCACAGGTTGGAGATCCCTGATTTAAAAAAATTATATGGCCACCCAAGTGTCTCATGGTGATTCCGGGTAACTTAAAGAAATAAAACTCCAACTATAAAACCCAATAAACCCCCGTCTACTCCCCCAATAACAACAATCAAAAAACCACTTGATGAACTATGTATCACCCTGAAGTCACCAGGCCCACTAGAAAAATCGAGGCCTTTCGAAAGAGTTTCAGGGTTAGGCCAATCTTTTCTGCAGGGATGATGTTTTAAGGGCAGGAGCCACTGTAGAGAAGGCCCTTCCTTCTTCTAGGTCCAACTAGATCAGGGGTGTCAAATTTGATTTCATTGAGGGCCGAATCAGGGTTGTGTTTGACTGGGCGGGGGGGGGCAGAGTGTGGCCAGCTTGATGTCACTCGTGTCAGGAGCACCTGTGAAGGTGGACCAAGCACTCTGCCAACAAAAATGGGCTCCTGAGCTCCATTTTCAACTGAGATGGCTTCCTGCAACCCTCTGCCAGTGAAAATGGAGCTTGGGAGAGCTGCATGCAGCTCTCCAAGCTCCATTCTTGCTGGCAGAGGCACTGCAGTCCAGTCCTTTGCTGTTTCCAGGTCGGTCCCGCTGGCCAAATCTAAGCAACCTGTGGCTTGAATATGGCCCACGGGCCTTGAGTTTGACACCTGCACTAGATAAACCTTCTTACTGAAACAATCCATAATATAATCTATTTCCTCAGTCTAGTACAAGGGTGTCAAACTCAAGGCCCGCAGGCTGGATGCGGCCCACAGGGTGCTTAGATCTGGCCCACGGGGCCATCCTGGAAACAGCAAAGGACTGGCCCATGGTACTTCTACCAGTGAAAATGGAATTTTTGTTTTCGCTGGCAGTGTTGCAGGAGGCTGTCGCAACCCAAAACGGAGCTCGGGAACCTAGTTTCCCTGGCAGAGTGCTTGGCCTACCGCAAGCGCCCCCAACACGAGTGACATCGAGCTGGCCACGCTCACTCCAACCACACACACCCTGCCCCCGTCCCCCCCAAAGTCAAACACAACCCTGATGCAGCCCTCAATGAAATCGAGTTTGATACGGCTGGTCTGGTATGTCAGGTAGATGTAACTGGGAAAAGGTGGTCCTTGGAATAACCTGGCCCTGTGCCATGCAGGGCTTTAAAGGTGACCATCTTGCACTGAATTGGTTTGATCTGATCAAATTTGCATGGATTGCTAGATATGAAGTCTCTTCTTCCTTTTTGAAATGGGGACGCCCCACAGGAAAGGAACTATAGAGGTTGGAGTGTCTACTGGTTACTCACCAAATCACTTGGCGTGGTATCAATGGGTCACCCCTCACCCCACTTCTGTTGCGGAATGGGCATTCAAGCTGCCTTTTTAGTGTTTCTTCCAGATCCAGACCACATTAGGATTTGTTGCAGATAACTGCTAAAAGCAATTTACAAAGCCAGGGCTGCAGCAGAACGGTGTAAAATTAGATCTGAAGAGTTAAGAGGGGGAAGTGGATAGAATATATTTTAAAGTGGGTGGGGGGGAGAGCAAAGAAAGATTACATGGTAGGAGAAAATAAATGGAAAAGGGGAAGGTGTGAGACAGCAAGGAAGTACAACACAAATCATGGGGTAGTGTGAAAGATTACACACTGAGAGAGATAAAGCAAGTCACAAGGCAGCCTTAAAAACATCATCTAAATCCTAGGCAGAACAAAAGGTGCAAATGCAGAAAAAATAATGTTCTGCAGAAAAGATAAAAGGGAAGTGTTTGGATAACTAATTGCTGTGCGTGGGGAGGTGTTGCAAAGTCTGGCAAGGGTGGGACCCAGTTACTTCTTCAGTGGGTGGATATGCAGTAGGGTGAGGAGTGGGGGAAAGGTGGGGAAAATATCCCATTATAGACTATTGTTGCTTTGTTCTCAGGGAATAAAAATATCCCAGGAAATTAATTGAAAGGAGCAAGATGGTTGGGAGTGAAATAGTAGAGATGCAAGATGGTTGGGAGTGAAATAGTAGAGATGTGTTTACTTATGCTTTGCATGTAAGAACCATAGAGTTGGGACCATGGAGGTCATGTAGTCTAACCTTCCATTCAGGGCAGGATCCACTATTCCAACTCTGAAGATATTGAGCAGAAAATGCACCATGTTACTTCTGAAGTCCAGTCTTCTTCTCTCCAAAGCCTCCTGTAACCTTTGAGAGACACCCCAGATTGGCCCTACAACTTGTTCAAGTTACATGGGTTAGGTAGGATCATTGCACACCAGAAATCAAGTCATGATAATGGCTACAACCCATGATTTAAATCCCAACCCTATTTTTAATGTGTTTGTAAAACTTTTCAAGACCATAATTTGGCGCTCATGAGGAATACTTCTATTTGGCGCTCATGAGGAATACTTCTATTTGGCGCTCATGAGGAATACTTCTATTTCTTCCAATAATGCTATGTTTTATTTTCCCTATATTTGACTATAAATCTTAATTGGGGATTTGAGTTAAGGAAAAATACGCCAATGTCCTTTTTTTTAACGTAAGGCAAAGCACTTCCTTGATTCGTGAATGGATCCAAAGGATCCCACAGGTTGTCAAGACTTTCATAGCGTGATACAATAAATGAAGCAAGAATTACAAATACAGTACTTTAATATTGTAAGGTGTTTTAATAGAAGAATTGGAGGTGAAGTACAGAAACTTTCCAACTATAATAGGAAATTTCAGTCTTCATTGATCAATCAGTTAAGATTGAATTTATTTTTATAATGTCCATTTGAAGTTAATGACGACGCTGAAAAAAGTGACTTACAACTTTTTTTCACACTTGACCATTGCAACATCTGTACAATCACGTAATCAAAATTTAGGCTCTTGGCAGCTGGCTCATATTTATGATGGTTGCAGTGTCCTGGGATCATGTGATCCATTTTTGCAACCTTCTGACATGCAAAGCCAGATTCATCTAACAATCATTTACAATGTTAATTGAATCTGGCTGCCCCATTACTATTACTAACTTATTTGAATGTTTTGAATATCTTCTTGAGTTTTCTGCAACCTGGAGAACTGTGATTTAGGACACAAGTTACTAATAAACTTCAACCCTTGTAGTTGTTTATGCCTAAATTTTCTTATGTTAACAGTATCTCACACAAATCTTGAGAACCAATTCATGGAATACCTTCAAATTTATTGGTTACCAGATCTAGTCTGCAAAATTTGAGAATCCACTAGGTAGTAGCAAAGAGGTTTCAGTAATTCTCTGTTGCCATCAAGTGGTCATTTTTCCAGTCTGGATGAAGTAGCCTTCTTTGGTTGTTGGGATAACAGGACACATGGGATTAAGCAGATGTTATAACTTTAGGGGATATAGATGTGGATTTGCCTGGAGGCTGGCTGAACACTATTTTCCTCTTCCTAGCCCCTGCTCTTGCACTGGAAAATATTTGACAGGAGCAAGAAAAGTGCAAGTTTTGGGAATAATCGGAAGGATCTACTGGGGGAAAAAAACTTGTAAATCTATAATCAAATCTATTTTCTGGGCTCAACCCACCATTGAAAAATTGTTTTGTCTTACCAAATTGGCAGCCTGGAGGCTGGATGTGTCATGCACAAGCTATACCCACCCTGGCTCCGCAAACGCAAAAAATGTTGTAATACATCCCAATGTCATGTGACATGATCCAGTTTGACACTGGTGCCTTACACATTCTGCTAAAACCCAAGGTTTTGCTATTGTCTCTTTCTGTAGATTTCACCTTTGGACATGTCACTCTCTCACATACACCACCCTACCTCACAGGCTTGTTGTTACTGTGAGAAAAACAGGCTAAAGCTTTTGAATGCAAGGCATACATTTAATGTGTAAATTAGTCAAGTCAGGGAATTGTTGGACTGGGCCCCTATTGGGTGTGGCATTTTGGAGGTGGCTAATGAATAATAGTCCAACTCCTCCCTGACCACCCTTTGCTCAATCTTTCTCCCTCCTGCTCAATTTTATTTTAATTGAATTTTAAATTTAAATCCCTATTTATTGCTGTAATGCTTTATATTGCATTTTTAATTGAATGATTGTGAAGCTACCTAGAATCACCTCTAGCAAGATGGATGGATAAATTGCTGTAACCATCCCAAATCTTCAACATGGTCAAGTTAGCGAAATTAACTACCCACCCACCCAGCCCTTTTTTTTATCCAACTTACCAGACAATATTCTGGTAAGTTGGACTAAATGATCTTTTAGGTACCCTTCCTGGTCTATGTAGCTTCCTGCTGTAACAACTGTGGAACTGTCCATATCTATTAGGAATACAATTCCCAGAATTCCCAGCCAGACTGTATTAATTCCAATGATAACTACATTTTTAACAACTTTTTTTTCCAATTCGCAATATGCTGCTCCAGGGCTCAAAAGTACTTGCCCTCCGCATCCACAAGAGACAACGATTCAACAAAGGACCGAGGTAAACAATACACACTTCCTATTGTATGAGGGGCACGAAAGGATTCGAGTATGTCCGAGAAACATTCCCAACGGCTTCTGATTGGTCCCGAGTCGCGGGCGTCCTTCCCTCAGAATTTCTCAACGTTCTATGTTGCCACGAAAGAAAATTAATTCCAAAATTTTTCCTACCCACGTGACTTTCGGAGAACTCACGGAGGGCCGTTTTCGACCGACTATCGAGCTCATACGAAACTATCGCCGAGGTAAGCCGATTCGTTTCCGAAAGTCCCCGAAACACACCCGATCATTTCCGAAAGAAGCCATTCTCTGTGCCACTCTAGTTGTCGCCAGCCTACTCTTCACATCTCTATGATGGAATTGGTTTATACGGATGGATGGCTCAGACGGGGAAAGCCTTTCAACCGTGAGCCGGAAATGCTTGCGATTGCAGAGCGGAAGAGACTGGAGTTCGAAGGGGGTGGAGCTTGCTTGAAAGGCGACGGACATATAAAACCCGCCCGCAGCGGCTCAGCCCCTCTTTTTCCGCTTCCGATCGCAGTATCAGCAAGAGGGTGAGGTCTAGGCCGCGTGTTGGTCTAAGGGGAAGACTCTGTAATGGAGGACGTAGAAGTGGGGGATAAGGACAGAATATTCTGGGAGAATTGTTAGAAAGGCGCCACATTGTCGAAAATACTAATCCGCCGTCTCTATCATGGCCGGAAAGAAAAAATGTGCCCCCTCCCCCCTTAGCCGCGTTATATTTAAGTTCGGAATATCAGGTTTTCACGGGATATGCTGGGTATTGACAGCAAGGTCTAAACTTATTAGAAAAGGGTTCACTGAATCTCAGTGGGATTTTTTTTTTTAAGGAATTTATGCCTTGCGCTGAACGCTGTTTCTCTTAAGGAGGGAGGAGGCGGGAGTATTTCCCCCTCTTTAAAACATGCTTTCGCGAATTTTGTAATGTTGGCAGTTAAACTACATATTAGGCGAGTTGATACCTGTTTCATTTTTTGTAGGAAAGGATTTATTTATTTTTTGAAAGGAACATTGCTTTAATTTCGTGAATCCTTTAATGGAAGGAAGGTGATGGGGAAAGAGTTGCCCTTAAGTATTTATTTTCATTTATGCCACCCTTTCAGCTTTGCTGCAATATCTGTAGGGGAGTAAAAAATAAAGGAATACCTTCTAGCGCTTATTGGCAGAGGGTAACTTTTACTCAAATTACTTGTACGTTTTTTATATTTCTGTTGGATTCTTCATTTTTAAAACAATCTTTCCCAGGTGTTCAACTCTGGAGTCCTCAACTTGCATGAAAAATACAGGAATTAGGAATATAGCATATTGAGTTGGAGATAGCTCTTTTACTACATTATTTTACATTCCATTGAAAGACCTAGAAAAAAATTGAATTAAAATAATATCAGATAGCAAGCATAAACTTGAAATGAAAGCAGCAGTGACATTAAACATAACCTGTACTGAAAGGAATAAGAATACTTGTTGGACTTCAAACACAAATCACTCAGGTCTGGGATTTTGAAATTAAATGAACTGTATAAAGCATTTATGACTATTTTTTGGTCTTCCCTTGTCCAGGAACTCTCCACAATGTCTGCTCATCTGCAATGGATGATTGTACGCAACTGCTCAAGTTTCCTTATTAAAAGGAACAAGCAAACTTACAGCACGGTGAGCCACATCTATCTTAGAACCAACAGCCTCCTTGCAAATAATTCTAGTGTTATTAAGCTTTCCTGGACTTTGAACATACTTTTCCCCACATATTCCCTTTTCAAATAAAATTTCTGCTTTTAGCTTGCAAAATCTTTCATTGTAAGTTGCATTGAACTCTAATAGAAGTGTTTTTCTTTCTTTAAAGGAGCCCAACAATCTTAAGGCCCGTAACTCTTTCCGTTACAACGGTCTGATACATCGCAAGACAGTAGGAGTAGAACCAGCTGTTGATGGAAAGGGTATTGTTGTAGTCCTCAAGAAGCGTGCAGGTAGGTATATTCCAATTTAAAGCAAATTCCTTCTGAACACAAAAGGCAGAACAGAATAATTTGGAAGCAACCTCAGAGTCCAACCCCCCTGCTCAATCAGGAGACCTGATACTTTCCAGACAAGTGGCTGTCCAGTCTAGTTCTCTGAGGGCAAGCCATTCCACTGGTTAATTGTTCTCAGTGTCAAGAAATTTCTCTAGTTGTAGCCTGCTTTTCTCTTTCAATAGTTTCCATCAGTTGTTCCCTTTTTTGCCTTCTGGTGCTTTGGAAAATAGGTTGACCTCTTCTTTGTGGCAGCCACTCAAGTATTATGTCACTTCTAGTCCTTCTTTTCACTAGACTAGACAAACCCAATTCTTGCAGCCGTACTTCATATGTTTTAACCTCCAGCCACCTAATCATCTTAGTTGCACTTCTTTGCACCCTTTCTAGAGTCTGCATCTTTTTATAACATGGTGACCAAAATTGGATGCAGTATTCTAAGTGTGATCTTACTAAGCCTTTATAAAATATTACTAATACTTCATGTGATCTTGGTTCTATCCCTCTGTTAATGTAGCCTAGGATTTCGTTGGCTTTTTTGACTGCTGCCACCCACTATTGGTTCATATTTAAGTGATTGTCCACTAGGACTCCAAAATCCTTCACAGTTACTGCTATTGAGCCAGATGCCACCTATACTATGCCTGTGCATTTGGTTTTTCTGGCCTAAGCGCAAATCTTGCTTTTCTCTACTTTGAATTTCAATTTTTTTAGGCGATTCAGGAAGGATAGAAATAATATGGTGACCCCGAGCCATCGATAATGAAAAGTGTGATGGAAGCTCAAGGGGCAAAGAAGTTACCTGAGTCTCCATATAACATGCTAATGAACTTATATGGAGATCAATTTTGTGGAACCAGAAGTAACTATTACATTTCACAGTGATTCGGAGCCACTAAAAATATAACTAACATGTCAAAAATGCTTCTAAGTTACTGTAAATCTTAAGTTTGCAAAGAAGTGCTTATGGAGATTTTCGGTCATTTTTTTATTTTTTACAGAGCAATGTTTTTTAAATAGTTAAAAGCCCTGGATAAATAGTTATATTATGAAATTCTCTTCCTGCCTGTAATAAGATACTTTGGTTTACAACATGTAAAAACCAGCATTAACCTTAGATACCAAGTATATCTAGCAGGACCTGCAAACAGTGCTCCATTAATACCCTACACTCCTGCTTCTCAGGCCAGCGAAAGCCAGCCACTTCCTACGAAAAAATCACCATCAACAAGAATGCACGGGCCACTCTCAGCAGCCTCCGCCATATTATTCGCAAGAATAATTACCGTAAGGATCTGCGCATGGTAAGTCAGTCTTCTGGATTCTCGCTCTGCAAGGTGGCACTTGGATGGATGTTACAGCTTCCATTAATCCAATTAGTACATAGTAGTGATTTCTGGTAAGCCAAGCTGCTCCGTCCAACTAGAAAGAAATGGGAAGTGCTAGTCTTTTTCCCTAAATCCTAATCCCTGGCATTTTGAGAAGGAGTGGGTTGGTTAACAAGGTATACTTCATAGGAGCTGTGGTGGTGCAGTGCTTGGAATACAATATTGTAGGCTGATTCAGCTCACTGCCAGGAGTTCAATCCTCACTGGCCCAAGTTTGACTCAGTTTTCCATCCTTCCAAGGTCAGTAAAATGAAGATCCAGATTGTTGGGGGCAATAGACTGACTCCGTAAATCGCTTAGAGAGGGCTGTAAAAAACTGAAGCTGTGTATAAGTCTAAGTGCTATTGCTAGTTTCAAATTACGGAGCAACCCCCCCCCCCCACCTCCACTTCTGTAAGTTGCCCCAGGGTTTAGCAGTCTCAGCAGATTGGGCTCAGTTGCTGCATAATCTAGAAGCCTTAACAATTGCTCCAAATCTTGTGCGTTTTTTGTTGAGTTAGCTAAATTTTTGCCCAGAGTGCTTGGGCACTCTGATAAGTGGGCGTTTTATTGCCCATATCTCTGTTAAGGTTATGAGAGCGTGATCAGAATTGGTACACATACTGAAAAAAGTGTGAAAAGCTTGATTTAGGAATGCTGTTGAATGAGAAAAAGAGCGTGTGTATAAACATTAGGAAATATGAATTTGAGGAGAGAAGAGATGTACCTGGACTTCACTATTCATTTCTTCCTTTTTCTCTCCTCCAGGCTGCTTTGCGTCGGGCCAGTGCAATTCTGCGTAGCCAGAAGCCTGTGGTGGTGAAGAAGAAGAGAACTCGGGCTCCCAAGACTGCATAAAAACACTTCTCTAATTATCAAATAAAGGAATAAAACCAGAGAGCAAAATGTCTGAATGTCATTTATAAATCTCTGCTCGTGGGATTACTTTTCTCCTCCGAGAAAATGAATTTTGGCTGAGAACAGAATAAATGTCCCGTAAATTGCTATTTCTGTAACAGGATGGGATTTGAAAAATAGCATGGATTTGCAATTCGAGTTTTGAGTCATGTTTGATTTCACTCTCCTTCCTTGATGCTACAGCTAGTTTGGGAATGGTTTTGATCCTTTTAGAAAGTCTTGGCTCTCGTTCAGAGTCCTTTTCAAAATGCTTTCCTAGAATATGTGTAACTATCTGAGGAACTTAGGGTGATGTTATGGTTCACTCCCACTTTTTTCCCTTTAACTTGCAAAGTTACTTTAACTACAAGCAAAAGTTGCTTGTTAAAAGCAGAAATCTGTTCATTTCCCCTGTACGTTGCTTTTTAGCAAGCATCAATACACTTTTTTTTCCCCTCTTTATGGTGTCTTGAACTAATCAGCAAAGAGTTTTAAAGGTGCCATAAAGAGGGAGGCCAGCCTGGGGTCTCAGTTGTTGGATGCAGTTAAACCAGGAAAACTAAATTTATCCTGATCATGTTGGTGGTTAAATACCTGTGTTGTGCCAGTTACAGTCTCTTGACTTCACCATTTACAATGTGAGTTTATTATAAACAATTCCTGGTAAAGTGAACTTCCTGTACTGCTAAAATATCTTCCTTGCTATAGAAATATCTGTTCCTCTAGAACTGAGCAGTTAAAAAATAGCATAGGTAAGGAAAAAAGCCCTGCACCCCCACCCCAAAAATGAAACATTAAAAATCTTCACGTCATCTCTCAGGGAGAGTGACATTTGAGATTTTTTAAATTGGCTTTGCAACCATAAGGTGGCAGTTAAGAGCTGAAGCAAATCTAGTTGTTTATTTTCAGTTTTATCCTTTTGTCCTAGATTTCAAGAGGTTGAATTTAAGTATCATTGTCTACAGCCCACTAATTAATGTTGATTGATGAGAAGCATTTTTAGGGGAGACAAATCCAAATCCAAAGGAATCATTTTGTAGATGATACAGCAAAAGTCAATGCAGAAACCTGATCGTTTGTATCTCTAGGTGCTGGGTGCATTTGGCTCTGGATAGCTGTTGGGATATTCAACAAGAAAGATAGTCTTTCCAGTGGATAAACCTTCTCTTCTGTAGCATCTGTTGTCTTTCCTCGTAAAACAGTCTCCTATCTCCTAAGCAGACAAAAAAGAACAATAAACCAAGCAACTTGGTCATTCCATATGTTGCAGGAATATCGGAAAAGCTCAGTCAACACAACATACCACACTTCAAACCGGCTAAGGTAGAAGCTTGTCCAGCCCAAGGTAAAACACCCAGACACAAACATGGTATATGCGGTACAATGCAATGAGCAATGTACAGATCTGTACATGGAAACAAAACACTAAACACATGGCACAACGTGCAACAAGCCCATGTGCATTTAACAGACAAAAGGCCACTCTTGAAGACGGCAAAATCCACCTTTCAGACACAGGACTGCTAGTTTGAAAGAGGCCATCTATGTCAAAATTGAAACACCCGCCCCCCTTAAAAGAGGGGGGGGGGTAGGACATCTATCACCAGTTTACAACAGCAGTTCTAAGAAGGCTGCACGCACATATGCAGTACTTACGTGGCCCTGAGGACAGAAGGCCTCAATAGATACATAAGAAAGAGAGAATTATTTATTGGCCAAGTGTGATTGGACACAAGGAATTTGTCTTGGTGTAAATACTCTCAGTATACATAAAAGATATATTCGTCAAGAGTCGAAAATCATAAGGTACGACAATGATAGTCATAGGGTACAATAAGCAATCAAATCATACTAGGAAATAGTCCGTATAAATCGTAAGGATACAATCGACAAAGTTACAGTCATACAGTCACAAGTGGGAAGGGATGGGTGATAAGGAGTGATGAGAAGATTAATAGTAATAGTAGTGCAGACTTTGTAAATAGTTGGACAGTGTTGAGGGAATAATTTGTTTAGCAGAGTGATGGCATTCAGGAAAAAACTCCTTGTGTCTAGTTGTTCTGGTGTGCAGTGCTCTATAGCTCAATAACTAAAAGATTGCAAATGACCAGCTGTCTGCAAGGAGTATAAATCCTTCCATTCGCCACCATCCAGTCAGAGCTGAAGAAACTTCTTGGATGAGAAGCAAAACCCTTCAAAGAAAAACCAGAAAATCCAGTTGCCTCTTGAAAAAGCACACTGGGGACAACCATGACCTGGATGACATTCTTCCCAAAAGCTGCCAAGGTGTGACAGGCCAGCAATGGGACTGACTACGTGCCTTCAGAATTGAGCTGGCTTTGGCAAATTACCTTTGCAAGCCAATAAAGGAGAATACAGGAGGTCCTCAACATATGACCACAACTGAGCCCAAAATGTCTGTTGATAAATAAGAAGCAAGTGTGTTTTGCCTCATTTTTATGACCTTTCTTACCGTGGTTGTTAAGCGAATCTCTGCAGCTGTTAAATTAGTAACTCAGTTAGCTTCCCCATTGGCTTTGCTTGCCAGAAGGTTGCAAAAGATGATCACATAACCTTGGGACACTGCGACCGGCATAAATATGAGTCAGTTGCCAGGCATCTGAATTTTGATCCCATGTCCATGAGACTGCTGCGATGATCGTGTGAAAAAGAGTCATGTCATTTTTCAGTGCCTTTCTAACTTTGAACAGTCACTAAATGAACTGTTGTAAGTGAAGGATTACTTGTATTGGTAGCTCAGGGTTGAAATTAACAAGAGAGATCAGAGCAGCAAAAAGAAGCTATTCTGGAAAGTTAAAGAATCAATTCTCAACAAATGAACCAGCAAACACGTGGAAAACTCTTAAAAACACCACTGGCTTCAGCAAACCTCCTTCCCAGGCAGAAGGAAATCAACAACTAGCAGATGACCTCAGTGTGTTTTACTGCAGGTTTGAAAAGAAACTACAGCCACCTATCTCCACAACCCACATCTCAAACACACCAACAACAGCCAAGCTTCCTACAACTGGCCCCAATCCATTGAGCTCACAACCTCTGGTGATCACAGAAAAAGAAGTGCAAGATCTATTACACAGACAGAAGCCAGGAAAAGCACCAGGGCCAGACAAGATAACCCCTTCTTACTTAAAAGTCTGTGCTGACCAATTGGCCCCCATCTTCACCCGAATCTTCAATAGATCACTAGAGATGTGCTATGTTCCTTCCTGCTTCAAACGTTCTACCATCATCCCAGTGCCAAAGAAGCCCTCCATCAAGGAACTGAATAACTACAGACCAGTTGCTCTAACATCTGTAGTTATGAAAATCTTTGAAAGGCTTGTGCTGTCCCACCTGAAAACCATCACAAATCCACTGTTAGATCCCATGCAGTTTGCATACCAGGAAAATAGATCGACAGATGATGCAGTTAACATGGCTCTGCTTTACATCCTACAACACCTTGAATCTCCAAATACCTACGCAAGGGTCATCTTTGTAGACTTCAGTTCAGCATTCAATACCATCATTCCAGACACTCTTCTAAGTAAATTAAACCAACTAGCAGTACCTGAACACACTTGTAAGTGGATCGTAAGCTACCTAACAGACAGGAAGCAGCAGGTGAAGCTAGGCGGAATCACATAGATACCTGTACAATCAGCACAGCCCCCCCCCCAAGGCTGTGTGTTATCTCCACTTCTCTTCTCCCTATATACCAATGACTGCATCTCAAACAATCCATCTGTTAAAATACTGAAGTTTGCTGATGACACAACAGTGACTGGTCTCATTCGAGACAACGATGAATCTGCATACAGACAGGAGGTTATACAACTTGCCTCGTGGTGTATCCGGGACAATCTGGAACTGAACACATTCAAAACCGTAGAAATGGTGGTAGATTTTAGAAGAAACCCTCCTATACTACCACCTCTTCCAATACTAGACAACACAGTATCAACAGTAGAGACCTTCAAATTTCTAGATTCTACTATATCACATGACCTAAAATGGACACTTAACATCAAAAAAATCATCAAAAAAGCACAACAAGAATGTTGTTTCTGCACCAACTCAGAAAGCTCGAACTGCCAAGGAGCTGCTGATCCAGTTCTACAGAAGAATTATTGAGTCTGTCATCTGCACCTCTATAACTGTCTGGTTTGGTTCTGCAACCCAACAGGACAGACACAGACTTCGGAGGGTAATTAGGACTGCAGAAAAAACAATTACTACCCACCTGGCTTCAATCGAGGACCTGTATACTGCACAAGTCAAAAAGAGGGCTGTGAAAATATTTACAGACCCCTCACATCCCAGACATAAACTGTTTCAACTCCTTCCCTCAAAACGACTCTATAGAGCATTGCACACCAGAACAACTAGACCAATGGTTCCCAAACTTTTTCGGTCCACTGCCCCCTTGGTGCTACAAACTCATCCTCGGTGCCCACCCCTAGGGGTGGGATTCAAATTTCTGTGGGTGTGGTCTAATTTGAGGGTTTGGTTTGCTGGTCACAGGACTGGGTGGGTGTGGCTTGCTGGTCATGTGACTGGGTGGGCATGGCCAGGTGACTGGCAAACCAAATACAAGTGGTCCTCACTTAATGACCAGTTGTTTAGCAGCTTTAGATCAGGGGTCTAAATCCCACCCCTGCCTCTGTGTGTGTGAGAGAGGGAGAGAGAGAAGTTGGATCAGATCTCTCTCTCTCTTCCACCAATGCCAGAAAGCCACCGTCAGTCAAAATTCATATTAGTGGTCTCCGGGATTTAAAATTATGAGTTTGGTGGTCCCTGAGGTCCAAAAGTTTGGCGACCCCTGATCCAAAGGGATGAGCCTGAGAGAGGGAAAGAGAGAGAGAAAAGAAAGAGAGAGAGAAAATAAAGAGAAAAGGGAAAGAAAGGAAAAGGGACAAAGAAAGAGGGGTGGTGGTGGAAGGAAGGGACAGAAAGAAAAAGAAATAAAGAAGGAGGGAGGGAAGAGAAAGATAATGAGATATCTATTC